GTTAGAATTGTGTCGACGTCCCAATATTTCTGGACCTGACTGTATGCCAGTCATCTTCCCTCATGAACAATAAGAAGCACACACATTCTCCTTACAAAACAAATATTAAAAAAAAGAAATGGGGAAAAAACAGGATTGATATAGGACGAGGAGGAAGGTGTAACAGCACTGGTAAGGGAAAGAAAAAGAAAGAGGGAACAAAACTGGAAGGTGATGAGCTGAGGGGAAGATGAGTACTACAGAAAGAGTTAAAAATCACTAGATGAGCAGTCTTCCCAGCTGCTGGCTAATCTTCAAAGACATCCTCACATTTCAGCAGAGATGTCTACAGTCATTTGCATCTGCTGTCCATTCCTATCTGTTCAATATTCTTTTTTTTTTATCAGAGAATGCAAGAAACCCCTTAATTCACAAATAACTGTTTGGGGAAAGTTTCCTCCTTTTGGGTATTATGACTAGTATTGTATTTGTTCATATTGCCCAACTTGATTGTATTGTATCTATTCATTATACAGATGATTAAATTTATGAAATTGTCTACATTTCTAGAAAGTATCCACCAAAAGATTGCCATGGCATAGCATTATAATAGTGCATTAATATTTTGTCTTTACTTTATAAAGTTATTACTTTTTAATAAATTAAGCAGCCTATGTTGAACTTAGTATTAGCTAAAGGAAGCGTATATATTATTTTTTTCATAAAATAATGAAAGATCAATGTTAATAATATCCAAATCCATACCTGTAATCAAATATGTACTGGTTTGATATGTTGCTACTTTCTGGCCAAAAAGTAGAGTGTCTGAAAAACTGATTGTAATGAAGCTGTGTATTCTGGAACACTAGCAAAAAGGAAGCATTTGCAAGAGTAAAAGCCCTTGATGAGAGAGTAAGACAACCAGAATGTAATAAGAGTGAGCAACCTTGGAAGTATGTCCTGGGGAAGAGGCTGCATTACAAAAAATGTGTCACTGCTCTGCTATTCAGAGACTTTAACTAAGTTCTGTTTTACTCTCAGAATATTATTGAAATAAATTTTCAGTTACTTTTTTACTGTAAATGTGCATCTAAGAAAATTAAGAGATCAGTAGAAAATGTTCATCTGAACCATGTTTTTTCCAATAACTCTTTTCCAGAGTAGTTTTTGGTAATTGTAATGGTATTGCAATGGTTGATTACATTCAAAAGACCATGCTTTTAAACCTTGGCACTATTGAATTGTATGGCTCTAATGATCCTTATCGGAGGGAACCTCGATCTCCACGTAAAAGTAGACAACCATCTGGAGGTAAGGGGCTGATAAAAATCTATACCTTGCTTGCTTTTTAGAAGTGCAGATTACTAGCTTTTTTTTTTTTTTAAAGTGACAAGAAATCAAAGCTAGATACGTAGATTTTAGGATTTTTTTTCTAGAAAACTTCTCTTTTAACTGTCATGGAAAGACTAACTTGTTTATACTAAAATGTTCAGACACAACACCTTTTTCAATTAAACAGTATCAATTCATCATCTTCTGTTGCTCATTATTTTCTAGTTCTTCCTCATGGACTTCTATATTATAATTTCTGAACTAATTACTTCAGTCATAACACCAACACTTCCCATCTTCCATTTTTATTTTTTTAAATTCCATACTTATTATAGTGTATTGAATTTAATTTGATTAACTAAAAAAAGTCAACAGTTTCTCTGCTGTTAGAAGTGTGAACTGTGTATGAACAGGCAATTCTGTAAGTGCTGAACACTACACATTAGGACTGTGCGGCAGTTGGCATCTTCTTAAAGAAGCTTCCTTTTTTTCCTGAGCTTCTGTGGAACAGTTGTGTTTGTGAGTCAGGATAGGCATGCTACAATTAACAGGAGCCAGCACGGGTTTGTCACAAACAAATCATGTGAGCCTAACCTGGTTTCCTTCTTTGATAGAGTTACTAGCTTTGTAGACCAGGGTAATGTCATAGACATAGTGCAGTTTGACCTTGGCAAGCTTTCAACAGAATACCTCACGATATTCTATTCATAAAACAGTAAAATATGAGCTAAATGTTAGGTGGGCCTACAACTGACTGAATGACTTCCCCAGAAAGTGGTCATTAATAGTCCCATTTCTGCTTGGAGGGCAGTATCAAGTGAAGTGTCAGAGGGCACTCTCCTGGTCCCTGTGCTGTTCAAATGTTTTTTTATTAATGGCGTGGATGAGACTGTTTAGAGAACATTTATCAGCTTTGCAGATGATGCTAAACTGGGAGGAGTTACTAGTACTTTAGATGAAAGAAGGTTCAAAAGATCTAGACAATCTTAAGCAATAGGCTGAAATTAATAGGATGGAATTTAATGGGGAGAAAAATTAAAGTTCTAAATCTGGGTAGCAAAAATGTACAGAATGAGGAAGATCTGACTTGGAAGTAGTACATGTAAAAAGGACCTGAGTATTCTTGTTGATTACAAGTTAAATTCAGCCAGCCCTGAGATGCTGCTGCTGCTGCTGCTAAAGGGCAAATGGTACTTTAGGATGCATTAATAGAATAGAGTCCAGATCATGGGAAGTAATTATTAACTCTGTGCTCGCCCTGGTCAGATCCCATTTGGAATACTGTACTGTATCTAGTTATGGGCATCACAGTTCAAAAAGGATGGTGACAAATGACAGCAAGTTCAGAGGAGAACTCCCAAGATGGTGAAGCATCTAGAAATCAAGCTTTAAAAAGTTAATCCAATAGAAAAGTTGACTGAGGGGAAATATGATAGCAGCCTTCAAGTATCACACAGAAAATGGAACGGACCTATTATTTTTGTCCCAGAGGGCAGGACCAGAACCAGTGTTTCTCAAAGTTATTGTAGTAGCTCTATATTGTGATCAAGTGAACCAATTGCAGATTCTATTTGTAATATACAGTAGTTTACTCATATCAAATTCTGCAGCAGATTTAACTGCAGAATTAGCAGATTCTATTTCTATTATAGTTTACTCATATCAAATTCTGCAGCAGATTTAATTGCAGAATTAGCAGATTCTATTTCTATCATAGTTTATTCATATCAAATTCTGCAGCAGATTTTCCTGGCTTCCAATGCAAAATGTTGGTGTCTTGTCTTTTCTTTCTATTGCTTCATTAAGGCATGCTGGCTGTTGTTTCTTGCATGTGTGGCCTCTCTAGCTTATATTCAGAGTCTGTGAAAAACCTTCTCACCTCTTACATATGTAAGTTATATATTGACAATGTAGTGTATTTAGGTTCAGCTTAATTATTCATGCTTCCTGAGATTTATTTTATGTTAGCACTTTTCTCACTGTAATATGAACAAAAGATTGATTTTTATATTTATAGAATTACGTATTGTTATGCTTTCAATGCAAGATGCAGAATACATGTGGTTCCCCCATATCAGGCCCCTCTCTTTGTATCTGCTGCACTGTGATATGTTTGGTTTACAGCCAACAGGTGCCCAACCTCACCATAATCCAGGACCTGTCCCTAGCGCTATTGAGTTATAACAGGTACTTTCTAGAATAGACTTTGGAGAAAGGCTGTTAGGAACCTTTCCTATCTGATCTGTTCATATGCCTGTAAATAAGGAGTCTTTTCACAGGTTCTATATTGCTATCACAGATTTTCCTGCCATGTTACATAGTTTGTGCCCATCTCCTTGTACCAGATAAAAATTAAGAGTCAGATGAAAGAAGAAAAATTTAATCTGCATTTTGTGTTGCTTTCAGTAATGCTGCATTTTTTCTCTTCATAGCAATATTGCTATATTGTCATTAACTGAACAATGTTGTTTCTGCAAATAAACATGCAAATAATGCTGAAACATTAGGCTAAATCCATAGTAAATCTCTTTCCTACCGGATCCCTATGAGTCAGGGATGGGAAGCCTGTGAGCATCCAGAGACTGAATACCATTTCCACCATGCTTGACTATTAATATAATAGCTGAAGCCCACCATTTGGTGGTCATAGTTTCTCACCTTGCCAAATAGACTTCAGAGTGTTTCTTCACAAGCTAGTGTGTCGGCCACACATCGAGGTCACATGGTAGATTTCTGTCATGATGGACTCAAAATTGATTCTACTCCCTTTGTATTCTCTCAGGTTGGCATGATAATGCTGGTCAACATTTTCCTGCCCAGGGTTTGGATTCTTCTCTTAAGTCTCATCAAATTTTTATCATCTCCTTCTCTCTCCCCACACCCTTTTGTGAAATGAAGAAATGTCATTAAAGCAAGAACCCAGACTTCTCTGAAACGACCAAGAAATTCACTAAAAGTTGCTTTTGTTCAAGAAATGATTATTCTTCAAAGTTTTCTGACTTGGGGAATAGTTTATTGGGGCTTTCTTCAGGAGGGAGGGATGATTGTATATATTTGGCACAGTAACTTGGAATCTGCCAAATATCTTGTATTTTTTATATTCACAATAATTACAGCAGGATGTACACTGAAATCCCTTTCAGTAAGATACTCCTGTATCAGTATGACTTGATACTGAAATGACTTGAAATAGGATGGATACATGCATTTTACCCATCATAGTGAACTAGTACCAATACAGGATATTCTAATGGCAGAAATAGGAAAGAGAAGTAGATGTACAAAGGACCAAGGAGGCTCTCTTAGGGTACTTTTGTTTTCTTAAGTCTAGTTACAATGTATGATGCTGTAGAAGGGTAAAAATACAGAGTGAGTGATTATCTACAGTAGCAACATGTATAGTTTTCCAAAAAAGTAGAAGTATTTATCCAAGAATTTTTTTTCCCTTTTACCTGAACTAAAAAAAGTGAATAAAAATATTGAAAAGCAAATTCTACAGGTGGTAAAAATCACTCCCGCTGGTAGTAGTTGCAAAGTTGCAAAATGAGTGTATATGTTGATTGCTTCAAGAGAAAAGAAAAAAAGATAGATCCTTTCACCAAAAGTGCTCTGATAAAAGTAGTAAAATCTCAGACTTCGTAACTGCATGGAAGTTGGTTTTTGTAGAAGTGTGCCATAAAACTGAACCAGATATCACACTACTGAGTCCAACAGACAGTGGGTATATCAGGGAAAGAATTTAACTTGTTTTGTAATAGATTTAAAATATTTTTCAGTGGTTCCATACAGCCCTTTAAAAAGTGACCAGAGCATTGTTTGTTATATATCTTGTGCTGACATGTCTGAATTATAAAGTTGTGATTGCAAACAATATGACTCTCAACCAATGAGATGGCTTCTACTTATGTAGCAAAATGAATTTTTATCTCCCAGCCAGTTAGTTCTGGAATCTTCCCTCTGTCAGACATTTTTCACAAGGATTTTGGAATCTGCTATTCTTTCAAAAGCTCTATGCCAAATCAAATAGATGTGCCTCTCTGAAAAGGAGTGGTAGTGAAGGGATTCAGTGAAGGATAGTTTCTTTATGTTCTGGTTTTTTTCTCCCCATTTAATTACCAGTAAAAGACATAAGGGCCTGTGAAAATTATCAGTTAATGAGAAAACACAATTGGAATAGTCAACAGCAATGTACTACAAAGGAAAAGATAGCTTCTCCGGTAGCTTCTCTCTCCCAATATGAATATTGCTTCCAGTATCTATCCCCACTTTCTGCAGGAAGTTAAGGCAAGTTACATGGAGGTTACCCTTCAATTTGTTTCCACAGCAACCACTCCAGGCAAATAGTTGAGCTGTGAGAGGCCCAAAGCAATACAGTTGGCTGAACTGTATTGAATTTCAACTGGTCATTTCAGTCCTCATCCATCAGTTTGACCAATACGTTGTGCTATTTCTTGTTCTAGTTCTACAGTTTTACTATAACATCTCTCATTCCTCAAACCCCCCCCCCCGGTTTTATCAGTGAACTCCCTACATCTGTTTTACTTTTGGGTTGTGTTCAGTTTTAATCTTTTAAAGGTAAATTGAAGATAAGATGTGGGCAGTTTTGTTTCCCATGTTAGAGATAATATTCCCATTATTAAATTGCTTAATAGGCTTTTAATCTGTTTTTAATCATCAAAAACTATTTGACCCTAAGTGTGTAAACTATATTATGTACAACTCATTAAATTGTAATGTGTGCTGCCTTTTCACAAATGCAGTATTTGGTGTAATTAAAAGGGTTATGGTAGAAATGAGGTATAAACTATTTCAGTCTTTTCCAACCTGTTCTCTCTCAACACATTTGAAAGCATCAAACAGAAAAGTTGGTTTATGCTTTCATGATGAAAGGAAGCGTGGCATATTCTTCCTTATATTTGGAAAGGCCTGGCTAAGTTCCATTATTGGAATTATTTTTAATGACTCTGTAAACCAAATGAGAATCCTTAATCACAGTAACAATTGTGGTATCTTTTGTCATTCAAGAAGTATCATTGCAACACTGAGGATTTATGTTTTAGGGGTTTTTCAATATTAAAACTTTAAAATGTACTATGAAGTTTGCCCTGGGACAATGTATAATAAAAGTGAAGCATTACTGTAATACAAGACCCTTTAACATTTTGGTTTGAGGGTCCATTTGAAATTTTGAGAAGCACCATACATACCATTACAAAATGAGTGACAGTAAGGGATTGGTTATTCATGAAACGTTACAGTAATGGATTTTAAAACACTTCATAAAAAGATAAATGATCAAGGCTACAATAAAAGTAACTAGTGTAAGGTCTTGAATAGACAGCAAAGTTATTGCTTGGGCCCCCCAAACAGAAACTCTTTTGACTTAGGGTTTTCTTATGACCACCATCACCAAATGCCAAATCTTCTGACAGCACAGTTGCATCCAGAATAGACTTTCTATGTGTCATGTGCACATATTTCTACCTGTCTACCTTGATTATTTTTGTTCTTTCACTCTCCTATCCTTGATTTGTTCCACATTCCTCCCTCACCTCCTCATTGCTCTTCATAGCCTTTTTCATTTTCATTTTCTTTCCCTCGCTACATCTGATCATCTACAGCATTCCCCAGGTTTCTTGCTGCACCCAAGCTTCCCCCTCAATTACCAGTCTGGTCTGTACCTTCGTTTGGTGGGGGCAACCAGGGCCCACAAAATATGCCTTTTTGTGTGCATTGTTCACTTTAATATGCTAATAATCTGTCCTCAAAGGTGGGAAGGGGCAACTTAGTCCTTTTTTCAAAAGTCTTTTACAAGTCAGTTTGCAAAACATATGGCAAAAATATGCTATCCACACGCTATGCGTGAGTATGAAAAGAAGGGGAAAAATATTAGAGACAGAAAAGGGAGTACTGGGGGTCAGAGGTAAAAAGGTGCCTCAGGCAGAGAGTAGTGATTCTGCCATTTCAGAATCTAGCCTTGTCAGCCACCAATATGCAGTGACTTCCCTGTCTGGGAAAGCTGCCCATAACACAGTGAAAGTGGACGACTCTCTGTCCTGAGGAAGAGGATTTATATATCTCGCCTGTTGCTTCATTTACATTTTGTTACCTTAGCTTGTAATATGCCTTAGTGCGTGGCGTTTCAGATTCGTCATGTGCAGCTACACTTTATATATTTATTCAAAAAACCTGCACCAGACAGTAGTCACTAATATATGTACTATTTTGCCTCTTCTGGTATCCTCATGATCACCTTTTTAATACTGACACTTAAACAATATAGCATATCACAATTCTTTATAAACATGGCTGCTAGGTCTCAAGATTGATTTGATTATTTTTCAATAAACAAAAATCTTGCATGTTTTATTTTCCAAATCTTGCTGAAAGTCTGAAAAAAGTCTATTGTGTGTTTTCTATTTTACAGCAGGTCTTTGTGATATCAATGAAAGTACTGCAGTACAGGAGGATCGTTGCAAGTCACCCACTTCAGGTAATTAATTAAACTTGCAAACACTTTAAATAACACTTCAAAATGCTATATGACTGGGGGGGTTTCTTTAATTTTTGCACTCCAGTAGGCATTGAAGTTCACAATGATTTTTCATATATACAGTTCAAGCAAGTATGTGGTCCTGTTAATATTTGTCAGGTGAAAAGTTTGTTCTTGGCTTAAAGTATGAATAAGCCTGATACCATATCCATTCTTATGTATTTATTATAATTTATTTATACTATTGCCTACAAAAATAACTATATGGGGGAAGTGTTTTAATTACAGTGGTACCTTGGTTCACGAACTTAATTTGTTCCACGATTCTGGTCGCCAACCGAAT